CGAGGCAGGGTAGAGGGCCGTGGTTTGCCGCTCCACTTGCCTGCTTGCCTTGTGACCTGCTCCTAATTCAGCTGAGCTCTAATTTTCGGTTTAGTCTCCATTATCACGTGGTTTCAGCCACCCTTGGCAGTGCTCAAGGCCAGCTGGCATGGACTTTGAACGGCCTGGTCTAGTGGAAGGTGTCCCTGCCCATGGCTGGGGGATTGAAGCCAGAGGATCTCTAAGGTCCGTTCCAGCCCAAACCGTTCTTTGATATTTGGGTTTTAGAATTTAGGGTATTGATGCTTTTGCTGCAGGGAGAGAATGAAAGAGAACTGTGGGAAGGGAACAGCTTTGTGGGTGGGGAAGTCCACAGTAGGGTTCCTGCTCTGTTTCTGGTACTGCTGGGTGACTTTAAGCAGGTCACCTCACCTCTGGCTCTGTGTTTCTGCAGCTCTAATGTGGAAGTAACAGTGGCTTCTATCTAAAGGTCCCTGAGAGGAAAGGTGCTGTTTAAAATCTGGAGGTGTAGCTGAAACACTCCTGTGAGATTTGAGGGTAATTATAACACCTTTAATGATGCCATATGCCAGGAGTGAAGTCACTTACTTATAAACCACTAAAAGGGCACAGGATGGTACTTACTAAATAACATTTTTTCCATAGGTTGGAGCAGCTTTGCCTGTTGATGTCTTAACATATGAGGAAAAAACTCTGTCTGCCATATTAAGAGTTATTAGCAGGTAAGGTGCATTTGGCATGTGCTTCTGATACTGCTGTGAAAGTATTTTTCATAAGAAACTAGAACTCTTGAGCTAAGAATGGTTTTTGAAGAATTAAGCCTAACTCTCAGATATTTGCATACAGCTTGCAGAAAATAATGACTCCAATCTGGTGACCTCATGCATCAGTATGTTATTCCTCTTAAAACCAGGATGTTTTAAATGGTTTTAAGACAGGAACTAAGCACTATTGAAATATGTGGCTTTAAATCTCTTTCTGTAATAAAGATAAGGATAGTTACAGTAAATGGTGAAGATAACTGCAGGTGATTTAAGGGATTAAAAAGCTTGAACACATAGAACAAAAACAGGGCTGGTAAAGGGAACTTAAAGAGGTTATAGGTAGGTATCTTTGTCTAAGACAGGAGACTGCAGCCAATGCAATAATGCAGGAAACCTGAGAAAACCAAATTTCATGAATATATTTTGTTTTCTTTTTACTTAGTGGCTTTGTCAAGCTGTGGAGTGCTCTAACCCTGCTGGGCTCCTACCAGAACAGGAGGTGTGCCTTCCGGGTGCTGCAGGTAAAGCCCTTGGGGCTGGGTGCCTTCCCCCAGGTGTCACTCTAAGGTTCTCTTCACAGAGAGATGGTCTAGATGCAAATTATCTTGGTTTGGGAGTGAAATGCTTTTCCATGCAGGTGTGTGGGCCTGGAGCAGTTCCCATCATATACTGAATCTTGTACAATGTGATGGTAGTGGCTGTCTCATTACTTTGAGGCTTCAGCCCAGTGGCATGTCCTGATGTCATTTATACATCTGTGAGAAAATAATTTCTTACTGAGAAATTATGCCCCAAATCATGGTCCAATCTTTTACTTCCCCTACCCCATTTCTTCCCTTTCTAATAGTCACTGTCGACTGACCTCATGTAAAAATGCATATGTGAACATGCACTTCCAGAGCTTGTTTTTTTTTCCAGAGGATGCTGCCTAATAAAATGAGTTCTGAGAATTCCTTGTCTCTGAAGCCATGGCTAGACAAAGATCTGCTCAGGCATAGCTCTAAGTTTTTAATCTTTCATGTTAAAGGAGAGTATTTTCAACCTTGAGTGCATTTGATGGTGATTTTTTTTAAGGCTTTAGTTCATTCTTGTTTGTTTTTTTTCATTTCCCCAAACTAGACATCTCCATTTCTTCTGGCATTATCTGGCAACAGTAGAGAACTAGTCTTGGACTGAGAGTGGTTGTTGGTTTGGCTGTACGAAGAAGTTCCTGGAGATGTTGCAGCTCTTCAGACGTGGAATTTCTGGAGGGATTTTCCAACAAAGAGCCTCGACAAGGCTAACATTTGTCAACTCACTGCTTGGACATCCTGTACTTCAGAGCTTACACATCAAAGTTGGAGACAAAGCTGAACTTAGCAAAGCTTTCACACAGAATGATGTAGTTACTTTTTCTTATTTAACAGGTGACACAAATCCTTTGCATTTAGATGAAGAATTTGCGAAGAAGTCTAGGTTTGGGAGAACTGTTGTCCATGGAGTTCTGATCAATGGACTTATTTCTGCAGTTTTGGGTACTAAAATGCCTGGTCATGGCTGTATATTCCTTTCCCAGGAGATTCGGTTTCCAGCTCCTTTGTATGCTGGTGAGGAAGTCACAGCTGCAGCAGAGGTGGAACGGCTGAAGGGTTCCATTGCACACATTTCAGTATCATGTCAGGTCAGAGAAAGTGGGAAGACTGTTATGGAAGGGATGGTCAAAGTCATGGTGCCAGACAGTTAGAGCTGTTCATCCTGTGCTACTTTACTATACAGACCAAACCATTGTACACTTCATTTTGACTCTTTTTATGTGACATGACTTAATCCAGTAAATCTGCAACAAAAAACCCGTTCAAAATGTTTGAAAGACACTGCACAAACTTAATCATGATGGAACTGCATTAAACTTAAAGCTTTGAATTTTTCTCTGTGTACTGTCAAGGTGAAACCAACTGAAGTAACCTCTGCTCTGCCCCAGTGGGGAGTCTGGAGTGGTGTGGCTTACACTGAGACTGTTCTTGCTGGCAAAATCACAGGCCACACTAGCAAAGTTCAGTTAAAACTTGTTCCTTCTGTATAAAGCAGCTGTATTGCCATCAAGCACTGGGGAGGGGACAACACTGTGTTTTACAAACAGAGGAGGTACTAACACGTGTACTGCAACGTGTTATCTCCATGGCACCTCCAGCTGGTGTTGGTACAGTGCACTCTGCAGTGTTCTAGACAGTAAAGCCTTCCTTAGCTCTGCAGATATGTAGTCAGCCTTCACAGAAACAATGTGCTCTGCCTGAGTTAGCTGGAGATGTGGCTCTCACAGTACTTTAGATACTTTATAAAACCTGATTATAGACAAATGAATTGCCTTTAATGATAAATGCCTCTGAAACTTGCCTCCCAGAAGCACAGTGAAGGAGGCTGTTAAAAAGCACATTGTCATAACATGTACTCACTGTACTTGTGCTCCCAAGGGCAAGACAAGCAAAGCAGTGAGTAGTACTAACTAATTCTCTCTGCTCACTTAACTGTGTGAACATGTGTTCCCCTTTTCCCACTGAAAGCACCTTGGTAATGTAGGCTTTTGGGAAATTTGTTAGTGAATCATCTGGGTTAAATTATTTTAGTACCAGCATAAGATTATTATACACTCACACTTCTTTTAGGAATGATGGAGGCTGTCAGGAGTAAGGTCTTCAGTTGGTGGCTCATGTAATTTCCTGGCAAAGCATCTGTTTTCCCCCATCATCTCTGTAGCAGAAATCCTGACTGCAAATGGAAGTTGTTTGCTAGGAAAAGAGTTTGTCCTCCACCTGTGATGAAAGTTGCTGGTCAAACAGTTGCACTGCCTGAGTGTGCTGCACTCTAACCCCAGATGTTAGTCACACTAAGCAGAGGGAGGGTAATGTTTATGGTGTTTGAGTCTGTGCCCTCTGGTTCCAAAGCCTGGGTTTGGCCTGTTCACAACCTGGAAGTAGTGGTTAGGGAGAGCTTTCCTTATCTCTCATCTGTAGGAGCTGCTTCACTTCCCGTTTCCTTCTGCCTGTCACTGGCTTTTTGCTGTACAAAACACTACCAAAGCAGGTTCACTCCTTCCCCTGCTCCTTGTTCACATGCCTCTCCAGGAGGGAAGTTGTCATGTTAATGCCTATTCAAAACAAAATCAATCAAACCTGTGCCTGACCTCCTGGGTCACTGCAGAAGGAGTATGGGGAGTCAGGATTGCTGTTCCAGCCTGACTCCTGAGCCACAGCACACAGCCCATTTTCATCTCAGTGAGAGACAGCGATGAAGCTATTTGTGATACCTGCTTCAGGTGTATGATGAGCTCTGGCTAGCCCTGTGGTCTCACTCGCAGCATCTTGAGAGTAATTCCTGTGTATGGTGTAAGAAGGAAATGCAAACAAGTATCCAACTTGTAGATTCCCAAGTGCTAAGTAGTATTGAACTACTTAGTAGCAGTAGTTTTCTATGCTGCTACAATGAAAGGTAGTGGGACTCAACGGAACAACGAAACCTGTTTTATAAAAAAAAAAATCAAAACCACCCCCACCTAAAATCTCCAAATTGAGTAGGAGTTACTGGATACTATTTATTTATGATCTAACGGCACAAAACACCCCAAAAGTCAAAGCGCAGCAAGTGCATCACCCTTGGTAAGTTTCCCTCCCTCTCCGCGAGGATCAGCAGTGTCTGGGGGTGATCTCCTCCTCGCCGCTGCCATCGGTGGGTGGCGAGGGGACACAGCCCGTCCTCGGGCTCCTCGCCCGGGTTGCCCCGGGCCGAGTCTCGTGTCCC